GGGGCGGACGGGCGCAAGCGCGCGGACCGCTCGCGCATGTCGCCGTCGTCGGCACCGCAACGCAGGGCTCGGCGCTGCAGCGCACACACGACCGGCGTCCGTGCACACACGTATTGCAACGGTATTGCGCGTTCGCATCGCACAGCCGCGCGGACGTACCGTGGTCGTAGTCGCGGTCGCGATCGTGGTAGAACTCAACGAACCTATATATCGTTTACCCGTCACCGTTGCTCGCGGGATATTGTTTTCCAACGGTCCCCCTACCCCCGGTAGTGATCCGTCATCGTTGTTTCCCGCGCCCATCGGTCCCCGGCCAGCGTCCCGCGGGTCACACAATCGGGTTCTCGCGACGCGTACGTAGTGCCGTTTCGTTCGCGGTTAATAATGTAACGAGCAATACCGTTGTCCGTCGTATTACCGTGAAGTTCACGTGCCCGCGTACCGTGTTCGTTCGCGACCGAGTGTCCGTCCGGCGGCTCCGAGCACCGAGGGTTTTCGTTACCAAGCCGTGAGTTATTCACACCGCATTATTATTATTGTTATTATTATTATTTATTTTTTTTTTATTACCAACAGACGTTTGTACCCACTGCTACAGGCACGACACACGCACTCCGTATTATATTAAACACTATTTATTCGTACGGTCATATTTATGTATGTTTCCGTGCGTTTGTGTGTGTGTGTGTTATGATGATTTTGAACCGTTGCACGCTCGCCAAACTGCTACCTACTACGTGTTGGCGAGCGCGGAATTATGTTTCCCGCACGCGACGCTTTCGTATCGTGCGGGTTTTTTAATTTCTTACGTTACTATTATTACGGTTATACGTCTAATACGCGTGATAGTTTTAGTCGATTTCGAATCCGACACAAATTTTCCACGAATTGCCTTTCGCACGAAAATACCGTGCGTGTACGTAACTGAGGTAAAACACGCGCATTACACGTACTCGCGAACCGTAATAACGTGCTGCCGTATAGGCAATCGACCGACGAGAAAAATGTTTTACCGTGCCGGTAAAAGTGACATAGAGAAGCCCTTATGTGCTCCGCGGGTAGAACACCTGATAATAGTATTGTGTGACTATAATAAGCACTACGAAGAGAAGACCCGCGGACGAACTGTCGCGCTATGCTTGTACTTTTTATTTCCCAGCAATTACGTTGCTTATTAGACGCCGCGACTATAGCTCACTTCTAGTCACGTCGGTCGCATTGTATCAATGCTAGTATTGTTATCGTTAATATTATTCATCGTTGTGGGATAGGTGAATAAATATTATTGCAGAGGAGGAGCAATAATCGAATGATTCTTAAACAAGACACAACCCCTAAATTCGCTTTCGAAATCCACGTTATTGTTCAAATGATACGTATATACTGTAGTTATTGTACCTCCGGTGGTCATAACGGTTATTCCTTGCCTTTTATGAGGTTTTTAATTTCGACCGTTTTCGTTGATAACTGCGGACATGACGGCGTTTCAGGTCCTATCAGATCACATAATAATGTCAATGTCTTGTTACATATGTGTATTTTCACTTTTGTCGGCGATTAAAAAAAACGCCTTTCGGCTACATTGAACAGTATTTAAATCTGAAAGACATACGAGTATAAAACATCTGTACACACATACACATACACTAACTCCCGGGTTTCATAACACACAAGTCCGTTTTATCGAAAAAAAAAAACATATTAATATGTTAATATAATATTAAAAATTTTGAATAGTTTGTTATTCTTGAAAACTACTCAAAAATAGCTCAGTATGAATACTCTAAAGTCTAATTTTCGTGTTGAAGTTTAACGTTACAATACTAAATCTTTAAATACTATTTATTATTGAGATTCTATTACATTCCATATGTAATTCAATAAAATCAATTCAAATTATTTATTTTTATTTTTTTTAAATTTATTAATCTTTAGTAATAAAAATTATGTCGTTTATAATTTTTCTGACTGATATATAACGAATTCTAGAATTATATAATTATTTTAATTATTTTTTCTAATTTAAGCATATTAATCATAGTCATTTACCAGTATTGTTACAAAATGTTTAAATTCTAAAAAATATAAAAATATATGTCGCTTAAAAAAGTGTATTAAATTGAACTTCAAGCATTTTTTTTTTAATTTTTAAACTCCAATTTTCCTTTTTTTTTTAGAACAATGGAAAAATTTGACTTAATTTTCAATTTTCGGTATATTTAAAAAAAAAAATAAAAGACCACAAAATTCACAAATTGACCGAAAAACATATTGTAAAATAGGTATTCATTTTTCACAAATTATCGTGTTAAATATATTATCTATATGGATTGTAAGTACGAAAAATCCAATCATCCCAGTAGAATACCACCAATACGACTTGAAAAATAAACAAACTATCGTGACGACTAAACTTACAATAATATCAATACACAATAAATCATTTAAACATATATAGGTACATTATTAAATTATAAACTTCAAACTTAAAGTTATTTTATAGTTTTTGTATGGAAATTTAATGTAAAACAGTTAAAATTGTTTTAGAAATTAACAGAGTGAACAAAATTGTAATTTAAATGCAGGGCTTGAAATCGAAATATAAAATTTGGATTTTAATTTCAATTTTGATTATTGATTTTAATTTTTTTTTTCATTTCTATTTTGGTTTCTAATATTGATATTTATTTTTACAATTTCGTTTTTGATTTCGAATATCGATATTCATTTTTTTTCAATTTCGGTTTCAGAAATCGGTATTTATATTTTTTAGATTTCAGGTTCACAACAGAATGTTATCCATGACTTATAATAATTTTTCAAATATTAGTACATCATCAGCGTAATAGTGTTGTAGGCTGTAGTGACAAGCTACTGATGTAGGTAGTATATATTTTAATCCATTTTTTTATTACCTATGTTATAAAACGTTTCGGACAAACTATAATTTTTATTAAAGTGTCTCCAAAATGAAAAAAAAAAAAAATATGAAAGTGAAGTTAAAATGAAGTAAATTAGGGATATATCTATGTGAAATGCTTAAAATGTAAAATAAAGTTTTTTTATTCATAGACTTGGACATGATTTAACTAAATTTGAGAACAATATTTTAAATTATACGTGGGACAAATATGACGACGCCTCGAAAAACTGCAAAAGTACAAAATAAAACTATTTTAGGTTATTTGATTGTATATTATTGGTTATAAGTATAACTCACGGGTGACAGTCAATGGAGTATTATAAATTAACATCTTATTCATAATAATACACTACAACATGTCATTACATCGTATATTATACGGAATAAATCGTGTGTAAAAAAAACAACAATCGCTCATCAAACGCTGATTACTTATCGTAAATATTCTAAAGAAACAAAATAGGTACTAGTTATTTATTATTATGTATAATCAATATTATTACCAAATATAGCAATGTCTACAAATTTACAGTATAAATAGACCTGTTGACTGTTGAATTTTAAATTAATTTGATGTTTATTTTGATACAAAATATCGATTTTAACTTTTTTCTATTTCAATATAAATTTTAAAAATCATTACCAATCATAAATGATTTTGATTTTCTAAAAGATTACTAACGATTTTTATCTATATTTGAAATCTATTTCAAGCCCTGTTAAAATGTATAAATTGCACTTAAAACGTTTAGATTTGAATTCTAACTGACACTCAACGCATTTACAACTTACATAACAATAACTTGAATCATTCGAAGAAAAGTTGCAAATGCAATAAGATCTGCGTCCTTATAATTATACTAAATTGAATCTTATATTATTTATAGTTATTCCTGTAATTTGTATTACTATAATTGATCACACTATTTTTTATTGATAGTTAAATCTTTTTTTTCCATGCTAGACGAATTATATTCTCTATATTTTTCTAAACAAATAAAATTGTAAACAATTTAAACATAAAAATTATATTTTTAAAAGTAACAATCTCTACTTGGTTAAAAAAATATACTATGTCATTTAAAATCGATTACACATTGTTAGCACATTGAAATCTAAAAATTATATTTTATCACGCAATACACTAATAGTAAATAAAGTTAATATAATTTATAAACATTATGAGCAGTTGGACACTAAGTCCTCTAATAATACTTACTAACGATAAATTAATAGAAATATTCGATAATAGATGATAAAATCGTCACTATCTATCAATGAGTGATGTACAAATATTTTAGGTCGAAATAATTGTTTTTGTACGTTGTTGCACACGCTTCATTTTTTAGATAGGGTGATGGATGTGATATTGCAGTGTTGTTGATTTTGATGTTTAGAAAAAATGCAACTGGTAAATATCGATCATTCTCTTATTTTTTACTCGTTCCTCGTTAAGCAACAATTTTAATTAATTAATTAATCAATCTACAACATACAAAATACACCTGTAGATTATACTAATTATATTACGTCATTGAATAAAATACATTTTGAACATAGATAAGAAAAAATTTTTCATTCATTCTGGAGTGTAAAATGAACAGTGTGAATAACTAATAGTTTAAATCAAGTTAATGAATAAACTACACGATTATCTAGGTCGTAATCTAGTTATAGACAACGGAAGTGAGCTCAACTGAAAACAGTAACAAATATTTCATCTAATTCCAAGAATCAAAAATAGTTGTTACCGCTTCGTATCCTTATACGCAAGGAAGTAAAATAAAATAATATTGACTATCTACAGATTTTTTTTTTCTATATCTACGGTTCCTTCCTTTTTTAACACACATTCCGTACCTCATTATTATATTTTATCACTTATAATCCTTGCCAATATTTTATAAGATACGAAATGTAAAATTTGCCTAGTTTATTGAACCTTTTTCAACGTTTTACTCATATAGACATGCGTTTGCAAACATACTATAAATTTTTGTTATCAAACTAATGTTATTCCATTACCTTCCTCACATTTTTTGAACAAGAGGACCGTCATAATATTATAATAAATTAGATTTAAAATCTATTGTTTTTCCATACATAAATATTATCTTATAGTTGATTTGTTTCGAAAAAATCTCGCCTAATTTGGAAACCAAAAGATTTCACTGAAATCTCATTTTTATTATTATTATTATTACTTTTTGTCATTACTAATATATATTTTTGTATATTTAATTTTCTTCCATACCCTGATTTATATTACTAAGTTATATTACAGTTAGAGTGGATATAGTGGTCTCAATAATGTTACATGAGGTATACAATATGCGGAAAAACCTGCTGGATTGGATATTGAAGAGCCCAAAGCAGGGCTTTGTAACCAACCCGAATCCGTAACACCCCTAAAAATCCTAAAAAATCAAACACCCAAAAACCATATAACCTGAATGTTTTTTTTAAACCATCGAAGTAACCAAAACCCGAATAAAATATTGGTTTTAACCCGAAACCCGAATTATTTTTTATTTTACAATCTTTATGTGATATATCATTTTGTAAGTATTTTTTGTGGTTATTTC